TTTTCGCCCTTCTATGTTGTCAGCGATAACGACTAGACAAAATCAGTGATGATGGTTCGGGTGCTCAGTTATGTGTTGATTCAATGTGTGCTTTTTTCACCATTTCTACGACTTAGGGCATATTTAGATATCGGTGAATTACAAAATTTCGAATATACCAAGGCGCATTCGTGAAAATCCGCACTCGATTTTGGTGGACCTGGAGTGTTTTTAATTGAGAATCACTTGCAGACCCCTGGAAAGGTGAGCCATGGGTCGTAGTGATAGGTATACCAACCTTTTATTGAAGAGTGAAAGTAAAGAACTCTTGTCAAGAACAGGCTTTATAAGAGAGGTCTGTTTTAAATTAAAAAGGCCGTATAGTTTTGCTTTCTTGGGTGTCAGTTTGATAAAAAAAAGCGTGATTTTGTTATATTTCCGATTTTAAAGTCTTATTCAGCGAATAGTCTTTCTGCGAACCCCCTCGATCCCACTATAGTATCAGCATTTCGTTATCAGCGATTGTAAACATAATTGTATTGAAACACGCCCAATTTCTTTTCACGACTTGAAAAGTTGGGTCCGTTAGTCTCCAATATAACAAAAAATAATAACGTTTTATAAATTGCTAATCATGTTGGTATGTAAAATTGGAAACAATTTTGCCCCCTAGTTAATAAATAATTTTATTATGATATTTAATTTATTGATCGATTTACAAATAAGGAGTTCAATTTGTATTTGAAATTATAGTTTTATTAAAATTGTGGAATATCCTCCTTTTTCCTAAAGGGATTGCTGTTTTATTTCCGTTTCCTGCTTGTTAATCTTTATCGCTTCGATCGGAAATCAATGTTAACGCATAAAAAAATAAAGCAAATAAAAAATAAACTTTTAGAACGATTTCTTTTGCCAGGTGTAGTACAAAGTAAATGCATCTATCAATTAAAATTGGCACCGCAAGGCCTACAGTTTCGTCGGCGACGCGGGTGGTATTGCTGCACTTCCCACTTCGCCCACCACTCCCCTCAGGGCAGGATTTGTTTTTAAATTTTTTTTAATAAATATTTAAAATAATGAAAAAGTACAGTGTTAAACCATAACAATAGTCCCCTTTGCCGATTTTTGAGAAAAGAAACCCTGCATTGTTAAGACCGAATTGAATCATCATCATCTCTGTTCATTTTGTAGATAGAGACCTCTCATAGGGCATATTAACGATAAAAAGATCTTTGAAAAAAACTGACGACCAAAATTTCCTCGATTTTCGTTGGCTTTTAATCTGAAGGGAAACAGTTTTTAAATTATAAACCATAGCCCCAAACAGATTCAGCTGCTGAAAGAATATAATTATAATTTTCCTTAAGAATGCCCTTCTCTTACTGAAGTCAGGATCAACTATTTTGGAATCAGTACTCTTTCAAGGAATGAAATTATTTCTTATCTGACAGGTTAGTCCTAGACTCGGCCAGTTATTAATTGGACAATTCGATTTTGGTGGTCAATTGATAGTACTTTCTAACTAATTTATGGTTTATTTCTTGTATCTTTTCAATGTTTTAATGCTCCTTGAAATTCAGATAATAGTCCTCTCTCATTTTTTAAATTTTGGTTAAATTAATATAAACCATCTGTGTCTATCTGCAATAATCTGTGTCACTTCATATATTTTGGTGAATGCATTATTCAATTTGGCCAGTTTAAAAAATTTATTTTGTTAATTTTCTTATTTAATCATTCATATTTTTACTGTAGACTCTCCTGCATGTAATACTTTATGTTTTAAAGTATTTTCTTTCCGTTTTTTAAAAGAAAAGTACACAATAATAATAATAAAAAGTATTAATACTGCTGTTGCTTCTCTTGACTCTTTGTAAACTTTTTTTTTTTGTATGTTTATAGTAAAGAAAACCTTTTATTAAATTTATACATTATATGTAAACTAAAGTAAAAACAATACTAGACAAATAAAGGTCTATCGAGATTAAAACAAATATTACATTTTTGTTAGAAAACAAAAGTTATTGACCCTATACCAAAGCTCCAACAGCCACAACCACAGTCCAGCCGAAACCTCAGTTATTTCACTATCTAGACAAGAACGGCAGACTTTCTCAAATTGATCCTTAAAATATTGATTTTCTCCATTTTAAGTTGCACTAACCAAATTTTTCAGTAAAAATATTAATTAAACCTTATAAATATTTGCAGTATTTATTATTAATTTCTAAATAATAATAGTATATTATTTGTTTAAACCAGTGAACTGGGTGCGAAGTCAATCCCTTATGCTTGGAGTATCATTCAATAATTAAATTAAACCTCTTTTCCAATTTAGATTAAATACACTCAACACCAAACAACCTAACACTCGAATTTTGTTATTTATTTCAAACTACACCGAGAGGGAAAAACCTCTTGTTTTAGTACATACTTGCAATCATTATAATTTTTATTTCTCGTGGTTTACTTAAATTAATTCGGTTTACTTAATTAAAGAAAAAATAAGATTTAGCTAAATAAAAAAATTAAGTACAAAATTAAACTGAGTAAAACAATTTTACTAAATATGTCGCTGTGGAAATCATGAAGAAAATATTCATTCAGTACGAGTACTTCCTACTCTTGCGTTGATCACCGCTTGCATTCTACATGGCATCGATTTTATGAGGTTTTGAATGTAGTGCTGTGAGCTGTTTTTAGCTGTTTTCACTCCTTCAACAGCGCCATTGAATTCCTGCAAATTCTATGGCATCTCTGGGCAACTTTTTACCCTCTTTGACAAATCCCAAACCTGCTCCATAGGGTTTAAGTCGTGACTTCATGCTGGCCTCTCCAAACATTGAATTAAAGCCCGTTCCAAGCAGTTAACAACGATCTGTGTGGGGCCTTGCATTGACATGCATAAACATAAAACCGTCGCCAGTTAGTGGCATATAAGAAACAACTTGTCATAACACATCTTCAGTGTATCGCACAGCTGTTAGGGAACCCCCGTTGAAGATCAAGTTTGTGCGTTCATAGAATTGCCAGCCCAAACCATAACTCTTGACTTCTTCCATCTTCAACAATGCTATGGTTCTCGCCAAATCTATATCCTTAAAACCATCACTCAAACCAATTTGAAACTTAAAAATGGTACAACTTAAAACGAATCAAACGACCTAACGTTAGGAAGAAGCTTTTTAGAAAACCAACAAAGAAAGGATTGGCCATTCAAAGATTTATGTACACAATTCAATTGTACACAGTGGGAGATTTTGTCTGTTATTTTATTTACCTGTAATCCTTTAAAACGGACCAAATATTGTTGTAAGATAGTCATTGGAGGATTGAATAAGAGATAATTAAAAATATTAAAGGTGGCCACTTTTTTCCCTCTCTGTGTATGTATTTTTATAATTTTATTAATTACAACATACATATTTTAATATAAACCAAATTAATCGAGGTCACAAGTTGCTGGCCAATTCATTGTGGCAATCCCTAAATTCTCCAAGTAATGGGTGACAACATGCGGTCGAGACTTATCATGCATTAACACGGAAGTTGTTCCAATAAATGAAATGAATGGGACCACTTCCGGAAGAACTTCCTCAATGTACCTTAGCATAGTGAAAGATCCATTACATATAATATGCCTGGATTTCACTCCATACATAACTAGCTTCTTTGAAGCAAAGCGTTCTCCATACACAGTCCCGATCATCCAGAAACCAAACCGAAGTCGTCTGAAAGAACAGCCCCCCATTGTTCAAGAATCTTTGCGAGACGCTAATTTGCGAATAGTCGCTTTTCTACTCCATGCCTCTCCAGAAGTAGAGAACCTGATGCAGGACTTCAAGAGACTAGGCTATCACCACAAAGCACAATGAATGATTACCTAAGTTTTAGTATTCACCCTTACGTTACGGACCCTTGGAGTTGACTGTGACTTGTGGACTACCGACTACGTATCAAGAAAGACGTTAAAATTCATTCGTTTTCATGACGGTATGATAAGAGCAATAAAACGAACATCTCGCGGTAGACCACCACCTTCTCTTCGATTGAGGCTTCAGGTGTCCCTAAACCGCTGTAGACCATCGTGGATGGTAGAGCGAGACATACGTAGTACTTGGCCTATCGTTACGTCCGTCGTTGGCTGCGTTATCTTCTTAATTTAAAACTATGATTTTAAGTGATTTTTTTCTCAAATTCATTGCTTCAAAGAAAACAATTGAAGAAACCAGTTAATTCACTGGAAAGGTTGACATTGAACTGATTTTCTTTATTTTTAATCTAAAGAGTGTAAAACAATTAGTAACAAACATCGATTTAGTACAACAGTAAAGTTAACAAGTTGTTAATGTTGTATTTACGTTTTATTTTTCACGTTTACAAGGAAAATCAATAAATACAAGTTGTCTTAGGGTGTATTTTTGAATTTTTGGAATCTGAATTCCCCTTTTCTTTTCTACACTTCTCTTTTTTTAACAGTTATGAAACCATTTTTAGTTGTGCATTAAGGATTATGTTAATTGAAATAGACGAAGTCTCTAATTAAGGACAGTAGGTCATGCATGCAATGAAGTAAACAATCAAAATGCCAACCTTTTTAATTTTAAGAGTTACAAAACCAAGTGCCGACACGACTAAAAAATTTACTGTCAAAATATTAATTTTTTAAATTAAATAATCTAGTCCTTTAAATTAAAAATGATTAAACAAGAACATTATTACAGCTTTAATTAACTAGCACAAGCAACAATCCTCTGGACAATTTCGGATAGAAATTTACCGTTATTACTTCCAGATTTCCCAATTTTATATAAACCTAGCCAATTGAACTGTTATTAACTTATAAGGATACATACATACCATATGCACGATTTAATTATTCTTTCACCATTTCAGATCGTTTGTTTTTTTATTAATATCTATGTCACAAAAAGTAAAGCTTTAAAATAAATAAATGCCAAACAATCGATTCGACTGTTGTATAACATTTTTGTTAAAACATGTCTTGTTTTATGTTGTAGCAGGGTCCAGGGGGGTGGACATGACTGCAGAGACTTGGCATCTCTCTCCGCCAAGGGGCGAGTCAAAGAGGATCTACGATCATGAACATGCCGCCATGGAAGCCTGGCTTGACGACCACACCGATTTCGTGCACGACTACTTTATCAGGTGGGAAGTAGTATAATAAAAAAAATATATATTTGTGGAGAGGTGTGACAGGTTCATGATGTGTGCTTTTATCAACAATACATCTGTTCCTTACTTAACACTAGAAATAAATAAAAAAAGCCATATGGTCCAATTACAAGTGTCAATCAATATTTATATCTTTGATATTTCTCGTAAGTTAGTATCAATCAAAAGCCCACGCGGAAAAATTGCCCACTTACTGTCTTCAGAAAACGGCCGAAGGACTAGGAAAGCCGATAGTCGCTATATCAGACTGTCGTGTGACTGTATTTAAAAGATACATGAAATTCTTTGAACAATTTTTAAAACCAGGGACTCGTTTGTGAAGTATTTCGTTCACAAAATAATTAAAAATACGTATTATATTATATGAATTTTCGCAATATGGGCAACAAATTCATAAATATACTAAGACTACTATATGAGAGTACACAAACGGCTATAAGAGTACTCCGATACGCCAAACGCGGTCAAACAAGGCTGTCTTCTGCCCCCGGTCTTGTTCTCTCTCTACTTGAACGATTTGTTGCTATTGGTGAGGGGTCAGAGTGTAAAGGTGCGACTATTATGCACGGATGATATTGTCCTTATTGCTGATGATGCGCGCTCCCTGCAGCTAGTTATTAACTCCCTTACTGATTATTGTAATGAATAGGGTCTAGAGGTAAATATGGACAAATAAAAAATTATGGTTTGTAAAAGAAGGGGAGGTAGACCCGCCAAAAATGAGAAGTAGTTGAATTTCAATATTCAATTCAATATTTGGGTGTTCTTTAACCCTCTGTTAGATTTTTGATACCTATTTAAAAGAACCATTGCCTTTGAGCAAATTCAGTAGAAAACAGTGTTTGGCAGAATATAATGTCTAACCCTAAAGTGTTATAAATACAGCGTTTTATAATGTATTACTATTACGCAACAACGTATTTTTTGTATTATATTATTATTATGTAATAATGTATTAACGCAGCTCGAGTTTAGGGTTACAAGTAGTTTGAGGATGTGGAAAAATTACAAAGTTTTTTAGGTTTCAGAGAAACTAGATTTCCTTATAACAGTCCAAATGTATCTAGTAAATTTAGAATTGGGTGAAAGCAGTGTTTGTGAACACTTCAACTCTACGTTTAAAATATTTTATTTATTAAAATAGGGTAGTTCAGTGTGTTAGCTGCGAAAAACGACAGGTTTTGTTTTGAAGATTGACAGTAAGTGTGTTAATTAGATTAATGTGTAGAGATTAGTGACCGTTAATCGATAGTTATTCAGATATCGTGAGATGCGGTCGGGAGTGATGTAGGGTTCAGAAAAACATTTTCTTTATCGTGCCAACGTTTCGATCTTTTATTGAGATCATCTTCAGGGCNATGACTCAATAAAAGATCGAAACGTTGGCACGATAAAGAAAATGTTTTTCTGAAACCTACATCACTCCCGACCGCATCTCACGATATCTGAATAATTAGATTAATTTTTGATTGTTTGAAGGGAGTTAAAGGTATTAAGATAAATAAGTACATTTCGTGGTGTTAAGAGCGAAGATTATATTACTCTGGGTTAGAATAAGGACAATTAAAGGTTTTAAGAGGAAAACATATCACTATTTGTTTAAATAAGTGCATTTCAGGGTGTTAAGAGAAAAAAAAACTTGAGTTTTTGTTTAAATAGGTACATTTAAGGGTGTTAAGAGAAAAAAATCAGTTTTTTTAAATTAATTAAAGGCAGTTAAGGGTGTTGTAGAAAAAGTATTAGTTTTTGTTTAAATTAGTATATTTCAGGGTGTTACGAGAAAAACATGGTTTTTTTGTTTAAATAGGTACATTTAAGGGTGTTAAGAGAAAAAAAATCAGTTTTTTTAAATTAAAGGCAGTTAAGGGTGTTGGGAAAAAAAACATCAGTTTTTGTTTAAATAAGTACATTTCAGGGTTTGAAGAGAAAAAAAATATCTTTTTTTTTATTAGAGGCGTTAAGGGTGCTAACAACCAAGATTATATTATTCTTGTTTGAATAAGGGTACAAGGTGTTTGTTAGATTAGTTTTTGGTTGTTGAAAAGACTGTTAGAGATTTTAAAAAACAAAAAGGATGTATACTTAGAAAGAATTAAAAGACTGTTCCACCTTCGATAAGAACTGATTGTAACCTGCTTTATTGTATTCGTATAAAAAAATTACATTTTACACGTACATTAATTACACAAATATATTTTAAAAGTTTTTAAAATGCCTGCAAATATGCAAACCTTATGTAGTAGTTATTGGGTTGTCCGGAAAATAATGCAGGATTTTAAGTTTTCATTAAAAAAAATCTATATAAAATATTCTGTTTACGTTTACAGGATTACTCANGTATGGGAAATTATTTTGATTAAAGAACATTGCTTTAAAGTAACTAGTTTCTTTTTTTTTGTTTAATACCAAAATCCTGCATTATTTTCCGGACAACCCAATAAAACAATAATTTAAAAAAAAATCTTGGTTGGCTGAAATGAAAAATATTGTAACAAGTTTAATATCGATATAAACACAAGCATTCAAGATTTAAATACTGTTCAGGTGCAAGTATTATTATTAATTAATTCATGGTATTATTCAATCTGATAAAGTAAATGCAGAGTTAAAGGCAAGAAGTGGAATTTATCATGCTATTTACTCTAAATTAAAATAAGCTTAAAATAATAAATTATAATAATTTAATTAGCAAAATTAAGCTTCAAGGTCCTCAGTGATGTAAAATTAATCATAAAATTAATTAAGGTTTTTAGTTGAAATAAAAAAGTCAGTGTCACGAACGGAATTCGAACCCACCACCTTCAGCTAAATACGCCGCTGCTCTACCACTTAAGCTATCGTGACTTCGATCCACTCGGACACCATCCTCCCATCTCAACCCTCTTTTCGAATTTTCTCTCCTTATTGCCTAAATAAAAACCTTAATTAATTGAAAGATATTAGTTGGTCAAGCGGACCACGAAAACTAGGGAATTAATCATAAAGTCACGTTGCGAATTACTGCACTTGAATGCAGCAATAATTTTTTTTTAATTATACACCGCCCTTAACCATCCCTAACCACCCCAAATATAATGCAAGCATAATTCAAATATAATTTTTGTACGAATACAATTCAATAAAGTAGGCAATGCTCTACCAGTTCTTATCGAAGGTGGAACAGTCTTTTTTCGATAAGTATACATCCTTTTTGTTTTTATTTAGCGTAATAATAATTAAGTCGGTACAGATGCAATTTTCGTTCTTAAAACCTCTGACTATGTTTAATCAAAAACTAATCTAATAAACACACTTGTTTCCTTATTTAAACGAAGACTGATGCTTTTCCACAGCACCTTTTTTAACTGCCTTCAATTTAACAAAAACTGATATATTTTTTCCCATCACACCCTGAAATGTACTTATTTATACAAAATTAATTTTAAAAAACATTTTTTTATTCTTAACACCCTTAAATGAACCTATTTAAAGAAAAACAGATGGGTTGTTCTTACAATCTTTAACTCTCTTTATTCAAACAAAGAATATAATCTTTACTCTTAACATACTGAAATGTACCCATTTAAACAAAAACTGATGTTTTTTCTCTAAATATCGTGAAATGTATTTATTTATACTAAAAAAACTGATATATTTTTTCCCTTAACATACATAAATGTTCCTATTTAAACAAAGACTGATGGCTTTTCCTCTTAAAACTTTTTTAATTGTCCATTCAAACATAGATTAATATAATCTTTGCTCCTAACACCCTGAAATGTACTTAATTATGCAAAATCTGATGCGGTTTTTTTCCTCTTAACACCCTTAACTGCAATTAAACAACCAAATATTTAAAACAAAATCGTTCTTGCTCTTAACCTCCTTGAACTACCATTATTTAAATAAAAATTGATATTATTTTTGCTGTTTATACCATGACCTGAACTTTAGGATTAGGGTTGTGGTCAGAAAGAAGACAAGCCAACTTCCCCAAAAAATCAGAACATTAGATTTTAAAGTACAAAATATAAACAATTATTTATGTATTTGTTTATATAAAAAACAGGCTCATCGTGTGATATATATATAAGTACCTGTTAAGTGTAGTTGTTTTGTTATTTATATTTTATAGTTAAGTTTCCTATTTATATTGTTAAAAACTAGTCCTGTTTTTAAGATGGAGTTTTTTTTTATTATTTGAAAAACCTGTTTAATAATTTAACATTTTGACTTAGTACCTATAGGTTGTCAAGCATCTGTGGTATACCTATGTTTATGTTTGAAAATTTATGCAAGATTGTTCTCTGTAGACTCTGTAGAAGGCGAAATATATCGTCGAAAGCTCGGCGTTGGTGCCAAGACCACAACCCTAATCTTAAGTAACTATTAGAAAGGCTTCTCAATTGCATAGAAGATCCTACTGAACTTTTTTATATAAAAATGTGAAATCTTAAGTGTTCTTCTCTTGTCTAATAACATAATCGATAATCCTAATTTCATTTGTATTTCTTTAAAATCTTCAATACTATGTAACTTTTTGGTTTCTTTCAGCTCGGCTTATATTTCCATTTTCCTTGCTAAGCGTTAAAAAATAGGATCAATTCGATTCAGAGTTGGCCTTCATCTTTTAGCATTTGCACCATTTGAACAAATGTAAGTTTTTATCTTGTGCAGAAGCGATTCATCAAAAGGTTATCTCATCAAGGAGGATGCGGGCGAACAGTAGGAGTGATCCCCTATGTTTCATTGCTCAATGACTGATGAGGGACAAAACAAGGGGATTATCTGGCCGGCAGATTCGCCTAATTTAACGGATGGATTCACCGATTTTTGTGTACGTGTTCGATGGAGTAGAAAATTGCGAAATACCTCATTTGTCGTGTCAATCCGTTAGGCCATGCCTTATTATTGTCCCAAACCGATCGTTACGCATATTTGTGTCGTTGAAGGTTTCGTGTTTCATGCTGCGCGGATTAAGTGTCTGATCCTTAAGGTTGAGCTAGCAGTCGATTTATATGTTATATGAAGGACTGTCTTGTGTGGAAAAATTTTTTCACATCGATTTATACGAAAGTAATGCTTTTACTGTGAACTGCCAAATTGCTTTGCGTGTTGTCTTATGATCGTCTGGGGTTTGTTTCGAAATATTGATACCACACCTTAGTGCCATGAAAATACCATGTCGATCTCCTTTTAACAGGCAAAGAGGATTTACTTTTTATTGTTTCACAGGCTTAGGCCCTCAGTGATGAATATGATGATAATGAATAAATAAGTATCATATAAGAAAGGATATCAGGAAATATTGAAAAAAGTCTACCCGACTTAATTTGAATTTAATTCCAGAATAAATCAATAAGTTAGCCGTCTTTATTGAGGAAGTGGCAACGCGCCCTTGAGCCAATCTGCTGGGGTATCGGTCTTCATGAAAGAACCGCCGGGTAAATTGCAATTTAAGCATACGATCAATATTCTGGGAAGAGGCCGTGACAAATTCGTATGTAAATGCCGGTGCAATTTTCCTCAATGAAAGACTTCCCCGTATCCATTTCTGTGATGGAGTTTATTTCGTTTATTTACTTTTGATTCTCTATAGCACGTTCCGTCCGTCGTGGTACGTTACAAAAGACGTGATAACCCTTTTCCTCATTTCATCTCGACTCATCTGCCCTGCAAATGTTCAATTTCAATTATTTAACCAATTGGATGTTTTCTCTCGACACTGAGAACGGAAATCGGCTTAAAACAAAAGCTACATTTTATTATTTATTTTACTACAAAGTTTTGACGAGACAAAGACAAATGCTAAATGGGATTTGGACAAATTTCCCAGTTTCCATTATTTTCCAAATACACTTCGAATAAGATAATTTTTAAACTGTCTGTTCAAAAATTGTGAATTTATCGATATATTTTAATTTTGGCATGGATCATCTTAAGATAGAAACGATGATTTAATCTTTGTTTATTTCCCATCCAAAACATTGTTGCCGGCGTTCTAAATATAATCCCAAGTGAAAATCACGAAATGGTTGCAGAAAAGGAGAACCAGTTGATGCTAATTTATATCATGGGCGATGAGTGCACAGCTTTTAATAATAGACCGGTAAGTGAGCGTAGTGGGTAAAAATAAACAAAATTGGAAAGTGATCAAATTTTAAAATAAAATCGATTGTAAATGTTGATATGTTATTATTCAACAAAGTAGCATGACAATTAGCGTTGATTGATTTTTTTTTCTTTCGAAATCTGTGCATTCAGTGTCACGTTTTTATAAGAAGGGACAAGAAAATTTGACATTTTATGTATTTTTCGTTGTATGGACTACCGTTTGTTCAAATTGTTTTTATTCAAAATGTGGTATTGATTATGTCAATTAATTTTTTTTTTGTGTAAAGTCTTGGTTGAGATGAAAAAGTAAGTGTCACGAGCTGGATTTGCACCCAGCGGAAGATCGTCGTTTCGAATCCGCTCGTGACACTAACTTTTTCATCAAGCCTTACATGAAAAGAATAATTAATTGAAATAATTAATATGGTCAATTAGACCACTAAACATAAATGGATTTAGTATTGAGCTTGAAAGCAAAAAACGAAAATAATTTGTAATTTTACTTATTTTCAACTTGGTCTTCCAATAATCTCCATATGAAACGGAATTATAAAAATTAGGGGTGAAAGCAATAAACTTATAGTGTGGTCATTTCCGATCACGTGTTTCACGATAGCCATTGGTTTATGTTGCTATATTAATGTTACCCCGACTTAGCAAGTAAATAACACAAAAATATCTAAATTTTCTTAATTTCTTTTCTTCTTATTTACTATTTGAAATTATTATATTGACTTTGATTTCTATGGGATTCAGAACTAGAGGACAAAATAATATGATATTTCTTCCTGTTGTCTGCAGGGAAAAACCTATTGTTCGATACTTACCCACTTATATTGGTTTGCCTATCCTCGCTCATCTTTGTTAATTCACCCAAATGAAGATGGCGAAACGTCGAAATGTGTCTGAACTAACAACAATCAGCGAGGGTAGGCAGACCAAGATGATCGGTAAGTATCAAGCAATAATCAACTTGTAGTTCAGACGCGTTTCAGCATTTCGCCATCTACAGAAATCACCCATCACTGAAGATCGCGAATGGCCGAAACGCGTCTGAACTATCAAAAATAAAATAGGCAGACCAAGATGATAAAGGTACAATAAAACAATAGGTCTCCCCTGCAAATCACAGGAGAAAAGCTCACTAATAAACTGTAGTTTGATTGTTTCCGAACGTCTGGACTGGCTATCTGTGCTGTTTTGAACAGTCAGTGGAAGAAGAACATAGAAAAGAGGTCCCGAAAAAACGCAACCATCAAAACAGGGAAGACAAGCTGGCCAAAATAATCTACAATTACCAAACATACATACCATGTACATGGTTTGTTCATTCCTAAGAAAGCGATTTTTTTAAATCTAGAATGTACAACAATATTTTTTTTTTTACTTGCCCTTCCCCCTATGAAAATTGAGATGCCGTGCACATTCTGTCTGTACTGTGTAGAGCAATATACTTATTTAAACTGATTGACACTGTTCACTTTCGTTTCACTCGTAGAAGTTTCCCACTGATGATGGGGCACTAAACACGTTTGAGTTAAACATAAACCAGCGAGAATAGACGGACCAAGTAAAGACAGTTGAACATGTGTTCTTCGATTATCATACCAACAAGCACCGCCAACTTTATAATATTTCAAGATAATATTACCAGTGATAATATTATCTATGTACATCGACAAACGCCTGGCGTGGAATCCTCACACACGACTGAAACGTCAGTAGGTGACACGATATAGAGCACGTGTTCTTGGCACTGATCTACCTCTCAAAAATAAAAGGTTGCTTTACAACACCATAGTTAAGCCGGTGTGGACTTACGGACTGGAAGTTTGTGGGGGTTCAGCCAAAACATTACAACACCCGCCGCCGCATTCAAACTGCCCAGTCCTTAATGATACGAACAATACCAGATGCTCCATTTTATGTATCGAACCCAACTACACATACAGACTTACATATCGCTTTCGTTCAAGATGAAATCCGTCCCCGGTACTGCAAACTTCACAAAAACCTCCCAACTACCGTAAATCAGCACGGAACCTCGCATCCGGACCAATCCCCTCAAACCTTCCCCGCGGACTGAAAAGTCAATGGCCGCGAGATCTCCTAGGAAGTGATGGTGATGATAGTAAAACTGATAATGACACAGTATCAATTAAACAGACAATATTCAAGTATCATTTTTATATTCAATATTCAAGTACTATTTTATTACTATTAAAATAACTACTATTTTATTACTATTTACTAAGTAGTAATTGAATTCAGTATTCAGGTACTATTTTTGGTATTTTCTCCATTCTTGTTTTTAATTTTATATATATTACCTTGCTCATTGTTTCTTGCTACCTACTTGAAGGTAGTTGCAATGTACTACAAATACAAAAAAGAGAATATTAAGTACAATTTTTAAACCCGAAATAGAAGCTACCTTACAGCTTCGCTTAGCGCCGATGACTCATTAAAAAACAGGAATCAGAGGTAAACAAATATTCCGAATGAAAAATGAACGTAAGGGTAAAATAAGATCCCTGAGTCGTGATGAGAATATACGCATTCAGCTAAAATTCTAATCAAGTATAGTAAGCAAACAACGCACATTTGGAGAATTGTTAGGCATTTTATTGAAATACCAATCCTACGTTTTCCGGTCTGGGATAATCCATCACCCTCTCCACCCGGGCGAGTTAAATGAAAACAAACTCGAACGGAAATGTTTGATGATGAATTAAATTGTTTGAACAATTTTGTGAATAGGTGATGTGATTTTCAGGAAAGCGACTAGGCAGATGGTCGATTCGTGGCTTGTGTCGCACGCTTCGCCTTCGGGAGGGAGCGCGAGCGGCGCCTGTTGCACGGATTCGGGATGCCCCGCCTCCAGGGCGTCATCGGGGGCGGCGACGCCCGTCAGGAAAGTCTCGGCCCACGAATTCGAGAGGGGCGGCCTCCTGAGGCCGATGGTGACGACCGTCGACGGGACGCCGACCTTCCTCTCCGTCTCGCCGCCGCCCCCGCCTCACTCGCCACTCCTGGGAGCCGCCTCCCAGACCGACGGCCTCCAGCAGCCTCAGGCCGTGCGGATGTCAAGGAGCGACCTCAGGAACCTAGATGAAAAGGAGCTCATCTTTGAACTTGTAAGCATTCCACAGCCATATATCTATTTCTTAAATTAACATTTTTTTTAATGCTTCTGCTTTTGTTTTTCTTACTAATTTATCACATTCATATCTGATAAATTAATATATCATTTTAGGATTAACAGGGCATATTTGATTAGTAATCTATAAATATCATTCTAATTTTCATTATATTTGAAACTATAGGTTTCAATATTGTGTACATACGTTCCTATTGGTATCCTTTTAAATTATTAATTAAAATTTCTAATTCCTGATTAAGGGGGATATATGCCTTGAAAGCTTGACGAAGGAACTGAGTGTTTTCTAATTGGCCTTGTACATACCTGTTGATGTTTTAATATAAAATTACATGAAATCTTTTACATGGAAATTATGCTTGTTATATTTTGTGTTAAAATATTTTTTAATTGCTTTGTTACATTCACAATTGTTGGAATTCTTCCTTAAGAAGTGTAGACATGACAAAAACTGAAAAAACCCTGAAAGTGCATTAAATAAAATATTTCATGCGGAAATGTGGGCATATTGTGTCTTGTTATGAACCATTAATTTATTTAATTGCTTCGATTCTGAGTTTTTGATATATTTCCATCTTGAAAACGTTGAAAACTTGAAAACAAATAGTTTCAATATTGCGAATACATGTTCATATTTGTTAACCTTTTAAATTATTAATTAAAATTTCTAATTCCTGATTAAGGGGGATATATGCCTTGAAAGCTTGACAAAGGAACTGAGTGTTTTCTAATTGGCCTTGTACATGCCTTATGTTTTAATATAAAATTACATAAAATCTTTCACTGAGAAATTAGACCTGTTATATTTTGTTATAAAGTAATTTGTTACATTTACAGTTCTTGGGATTCTTACTTAAGAAATGTAGCAAATAACAAAAACTAACAACCATAAAATTGCAATTGTTTCGATTCTGGGTTTTTGGTATTATTCCATCTTGAAAACATAGGTTTAAATATTATGAATGTATGTTCATATTTGTTAACCGTTTAAATTAATTAATATTTGTAATTCAAGATTAAGGGGGGGATATATGCCTTGAAAGCTTGACGAAGGAACTGAGTGTTTCATAATTGGCCTTGTACATACCTTATGATGTTTTAATATAAAATTACATAAAATCTTTCACTCAGAAATTAGACCTGTTATATTTTGTGATGAAATATTTTTTTTATTGCTTTGTTACATTTGCAGTTCTTGGGATTCTAGCTTAAGAAGTGTAGCAAATAACAAAAACTGAAATACCATAAAATTACATTAAATAAAATCTTTCATGCAGAAATGTGGGCTTATTGTGTCTTGTTATGAAATTTTTATTTATTTAATTGCTTTGATTCTGAGTTTTTGGGATACTTCCCCCTTGAAAACATAGATTTCAATATTGTGAATGTATGTTTAAATAATAATTAACCTTTTAAATTGTTAATTAATGTTTCAACGTTCTAATGAAAGAATACCTTGACAACTTGACAAATGTGTGTTTTCTTTCTAATTGGCCTTACCTTAACCTATAGTATTTTAATGTAAAAGCAATAAATTCATTTAGAAATGTGGACTTGTTATGTCTTGTGATAAACCATTTTTTTAAATATTATTTTTATGATATATTCCGAGTTTTTGGGATTTGTGCTTAAGAAGTGTATCACAACAATAAAGTGTAAAATTATAAAATTAATTTAAATAAAATCTTTCGTGCTTATTACATTGTGTAATAAACTTTTTTTAAAAATTTATTTGCTGTTCTTTGGGAATTTTTGGAATTCTTATTTAAGAAGTGTAACAAATAACAAAAAGTGAAAAACCATAAAAATAGTTTAAATAAAATAAAATTCAGCCGAAGGTCGTGAATTTGATTCTGCTCATCGCACTTCTTTTTCATCTCAATCAAGACCTTAAATTTAAAAAAAAAAATAATTAATATGGTCAATTATGACTACTAAAACATATATTGATTAATTAAATAAAATAATTCATGCAGAATGTGTTTACATGTTTTAACAAACTTTTTAAATATTTAATTAATTGACAATAATTTTTATTTTTAATATAATTTTTCCACCAGTTTTATATTTTGCTTTGGTAGCTTTTGGACAAATGCTTGACCCCTCCTCAGTCCTCAGCCCTCTACATTAAAATTACCATATTACAAACTTAATAAACAGCCCACCAAGGATAGTCCAGTTTCACAGCCTGCACAGAATTCTTCGGCAGAATGAAAACACAATACGTTTGAGATTCTTGCAACCTGATGCTTTTGTATCTTGGCCTAAGCAAATTCGAATTTGAAAAAGAAGTCATTAAAGTCGCCATTAACCCAAGTCCTCAGGAGAGTTATTTCTGATAATTTATATTACATGCTCTTACACAATAAATGCTCTTAATTATTATTTTAGAATGACAGATCTATTACAAGACTGTCTTCAGCTGAGTTGAGCAAGAAAAGAAGTATTGCCTGTCCAACAACTATCCAAAGTCATTTCGTCAATCGAGAAAGCCAAAATGATCTGTATATGTCAGAATGAATTGATAAAAGCTCAAGTTATAAAGCAACAGAGAATCCATGCAGACATCAGTATCTTTAATGTCAGCGGCTCCTCCTAAGTTGATTATAGATTGAGAATTCCTGAGTGCAAAGTTGTTGAATCTTCTTGTCTGCTTCCTGGTTTCTTAAACTTTTCTATCAATAAGGCTTTGTGATAAATTCAAAAGGAGGGTATAGTGCTGTAACTGATGGAACTTGGTTACCTGACACAACTCGATCGCCACCCGTAACAAACAGAAAAAGTGCAGTGGCTCAGGGCGTCCTCATTATTGTTAAAAAGATGCTTATTACACAGTTGTTGGCAAACTTAGCAAACAATAAATTCATATTGTATATATTCAATGAGAATATTGTGGAGAGAGAAAGAAAGAGCACGTGCGCGCGTGTGTGGGTGTGAGTGCGCTTGTTGGTCCAAAAGATCAAAACAAAACAAAAAACTGGTGGAAAAGTTGAACAAAACAAAGAGAAATAAAGGGATATTTATGCCACAAAATACCATTGTACATGCAGAACAAGTAAATAGAATATTTTTCCTTCAAATATGAACCTATATGTCTTGTGATAAACCACTTTTTAATCATTTTGCTACATTCTGAGCTTTTGGAATTATTGCTTTAAATATGTAACAAATAACAAAAATTGCAAAACAATAATTGTTAATCTCTCATCTCACAACCAAAAATCACACATAAGCTGTATACAAAACAAAAATACCTGCCATTTCTTACTACATTCATCCAAAATTTCTTACTTGTAATTTTATAAGATTTCTTTTTCTAGGTCAAAGATATTTTTAATGAACTTGAAGTGAAATCTCTTTGTCATAAAATCCTACAAAATGTGAGCACCCTGCTGAAAGCTGACCGGGGCTCACTTTTCCTCGTACAAGGCGAGAGGCCTCAGTGCACATCGAGAGCAAACATTAAACCCGTGGGCTGTCTTCATCCTGATGATAACTCACAGAAGCCTTCCATTCCTAATCATTCTTCTGGATGTCACTCTAGGTAATTTCGGTCAAAAAGAAAACAAAAATGAGATTACTAACTATATATGCTCCCTTTTAAAATACTTTATAATAATTTATCCTTTAATCTTAAAACTTAAACGCTTAAATGTTAATCATGTAAAATAAATATAAATCTCTATTTTTTTATTTCTTCATTTCCTGAAGTTCTGTAAACTCACTGATAACTTGAATACTGATACTTTATGTGATTCACAGTGTTACGATGTGGATAATTATTGTTTTGGTTATACAGTTTTTAATGTTTTATTTTTTCAGGTGTCTTGTTTCCAAGTTGTTCGATGTCTGTTCAAGGTCGACCTTGCAAGAGATGGAATGTCAAGAAGAGATTCGGATACCCTGGGGTAAAGGTATTGTCGGTTTTGTTGCCGAAACTGGCGAAAGTGTAAATATACCTGATGCTTACAAAGTAATAACTATTTTCATTTTGTTACTTCCTCTAACAAATCTCGCGTGTTAAAATACGTTTGATTTTTCAGGATGAAAGGTTCAACCAAGAAGTGGATGCACGGACTGGTTACAGGACCCGATCACTACTTTGTATGCCTATTAAAGATCTGAATGGAGATGTAATAGGTGTTGCACAGGTAAAGTTTAATTAAATAAATAAATAAAACATAATGAAAGCTTGTTCATAAAAACTAAGAAAAATAAATAAAGTTGTACAAGAGTAACAATTAAAAATTTTTGTTACAGGTTATAAATAAAAAAGAAGATACACATTTTACACACAACGATGAAAAGATATTTTCCAGTTACCTTCAATTTTGTGGAATAAGCCTGAGAAATGCCCAACTGTATGAAAAAAGCCAATTGGAAGTGAAAAGAAACCAGGTGAATAAAACAGATAGCAAACTGTCTGTTGAAGTAGTAATAAAAAATGTTGGATAATCTAACATAGGCTTTTGTTGATTAATTACTTGTTAACAATAATTAATTTCCAACAGTTCTCAGGCTAATCTGTGAGTTGTAACCAGTTATATTTAATTTCAATCTTTTTTTTCTCCCTTGTTATTAGTAATTTTCTAGATTAATTTATTTGTGGTTCAACTCTTATTTGTTTAAATGTAATTTTAGTGAAGATACCAAAAGTAGACAATTTAAACTATTAGTAGTAGTATTTCTTAAGCTGACTTTTATCTTTGTGAAGCATGAGCTGTAAATACTATTTTTGACGACTCAAAAGTAAACATTTTCGATATTAAATTATTTTTTTAATTTAGGTCTTGTTGGATTTGGCGAGAATGATATTTGAAGAGCAAAGCACAATCGAACACATGGTATTCAGGATACTGACGCATACGCAGTCCCTCATCCAATGTCAAAGGGTTCAAGTGAGTATAATTGCTGTGTGATCTCATAGGAATAAAAAAAAAGATAATTTATTTGTCATTAATTGTAAATTCTTTTGATCTAGGTTCTTCTGCTACACAAAGCAAATCTTGGGAGTTTCTCCCGTGTTTTTGATTTTGAAGCAAATGACTTGGAGGCAGTGAAGGGGAATGAAGATGAGCGAATAAGGTGACCTCATCCAAAGCAAATGTACAGTAATCCCATGAGTCTTTTTTCAGACTCTGTTAATTCCCCCTGCAATATATCCGATCCAATATTTCGTTTCTATCTTTACTAATATTTTTTTGTGGATTTTTTCTTTTTTAGCCCATTTGAAAGCCGCTTCCCTATTAACATCGGCATTACTGGAGCCGTTGCGACATCTGGTGAGGTAAGTTTTTTTAAATTATAGTTTTATCTATGAATAAAAGAGAATTATTATGAGAAAATGTATGTGTTTTTCTCTCTCTTCAGACGATTAATATAATAAATGCCTATGAGGATTCAAGGTTTGACCCAAACGTGGATGAAGGTACTGGGTTCAGGCATAGAAGTATCTTGTGCATGCCAATCAAAAATTCTACAGGAGAAATTATTGGTGTCATTCAGGTATGTTTAGGTCCACAATTATTGTTATTGTTCCTTCAGGGGGACTGCAGTAACTAACTTGTATTTGCCACACTAGCGGTCCTGTGTTCGAATCCCAGCAATGTCTCTTTGTTTTTAATTGATAATAATATTTGAAAAAGTATTGAAAAATTTTTTGATTCCTTGTCAAACACACAAGGGTAGTTTGACGTTAAGCCCTCCCGTATGACAGGAATTACTTTTATTGTTGTTCCAAGTTTAAAAAAAAAAATAAGTCAACTTAAAGTTTAAGTCACTACTTTCGTGGTCCGCTTGACCAATTAATACATGACAATTAATTAAGGTTTTTAGTTGAGATGAAAAAAAGTTAATGGCACGAGAGGGATTCGAACCCACGACCTTCGGCTAGATACGCCGCTGCTTTACCACCTGAGCTGGATCGAGGTCACGATAGCTCAGGTGGTAGAGCAGTGGCGTATCTAGCCGAAGGTCGAGGGTTCGAATCCCTCTCGTGCCATTAACTTTTTTCATCTCAACTAAAAACCTTAATTAATTGTAATTAAAGTTTAAGTTTAGATACTTTAGAGTATGGATTGGATCCTCACTCTCTCTTTTGTAGAGAGGGGAGTCCTTCAGGGTAGAGTCCTCAGCCTGCTACTGTACTCACTACATACTGCTGGGGTGAAATGAAGTAAAATTCAGTGAAAAAAAATTCCACTCTCCACCACTCCCACTCTAACCCCCATTTTCTTCTTGATATCTTCCCAATAATCCTAGATGTCTAAAAAGACAGCTGCTCCCAGACCAGCTCACATAGAGTGCGATTTATGATTTAGGAGTATCACTGGATAGCTTCCCCTCTCGACTTTTTACTTCTTTTGTGTTATCTTGTTACTTAGGCAACTTATTGTGCTTCTCATTGCTTATTGTTCAAACTTATTGTTGCTCGCTTACTCAATAAAAAATTTAGTAATTTTTCTGAGAATCAGTTATTGTGAAAAATTAATATAATTAACCAATGTTTTGATGTTGTAAGACAAGTTCTCATTTTGAAAATCTTGTTTTGTTTGATTTTCAGTTGATAAACAAGTTCAATGAGCTCCCATTTACAAAAAACGATGAAAATTTTGTGGAGGCATTTGCAATATTTTGTGGAATGGGAATCCACAATACTCATATGTAAGTATTTTCATTCCAAGTATCAGTCGACCACAACGGAAATAATATAATTGGATTTCAGGTATGAAAAGGCTGTGATAGCAATGGCTAAACAAAGTGTTACTTTAGATGTTTTAAGTTACCATGCAACCGCAACACTGGAAGATGCTCAGAAATTAAGAGTAAGAGTATTTAATTTTTTTTTTTTTAAGAAATTTAACATTTGTAATTTCCAGGCACTCAGGGTTCCATCGGCTACAATATTTGAGCTGTATGATTTTAAATTTGATGATATTCTTCTCTCAGATGATCAAACACTCACAGTAATTATTCACCAATCATAGCATTCTACTCAACACCTGAACAAGATTATCACATGTATGCTGATTTTTTAGGCCTGTCTAAGGATGTTTCTGGATCTCGACTTCGTCGAAAGGTTCAGCATAGACTATGAGGTCCTTTGCAGGTGGTTGTTGAGCGTGAAAAAAAATTACCGGAATGTGACATATCACAACTGGAGGCATGCCTTCAACGTTGCACAGATGATGTTTTCCATCATAACCGCAACTCAATGGTGGAAGATATTCGGCGATATCGAATGCCTGGCATTGATTATTGCCTGCCTTTGTCATGACCTCGACCACCGAGGGACTAATAATTCGTTTCAAATCAAGTAATTGTAATTTCAATTAAATCTCTTTCACCTAGAGATTTAATTCTGATTGTAAGAATTGTTTATAGGGCGTCGTCACCACTGGCACAGCTTTATTCAACATCGACAATGGAACATCATCATTTTGACCAGTGTCTCATGATCCTCAACAGTCAGGTACTGTATTTCCACGTTGTTTTTCGTAATATTAAGTATTGGGCGTGTGCAAAAGTTTTTTTCTTTTCAATTTTCAGCACACAAAAAAAGAGACAAACTTTCAAAATATAATTGTACCTTATTTTTAATTCAAAACAAAATTTCCTTGCTTCTCTATGCCAATGTTCTGGTAGCAGAAATATCCCATTTTTTGTAAAAGTTAGATGAGAAAAAACCTAGAAGTACATTTTTTTTCTCCCCCTCCCCAAACGGTCCTTTGGCATTTAACATTTTTTATTCCTATGCAGGCCATGTGTTCTTCCTAGCTCCTGAGTTTTACAACGTAACCCAGAGATCCAATTTTTATTTCTATTGTCATGCAATGAATGTGCTGGAAATCTCTTTGATAATTCTGCTACAGTTATGTTGTCCTTTTCTTCCAATGGCCATTCAGTTACTATGTTATCACTATAATTTCCACATAAACTTCAATGAATGTATGCCACTATATGCCTGAGATCGAACCTGTATAGCAAGCAATCCTCTAATGAATTTCATATGCTACCATGTTGTATGTGTCAAAGTTTATTCTAGACTGAATTTTGGGATCAACTACCCCCCGTAACAATCTCTTTCATTAGTTTTTTTTCCCACCCTAGATCTAATGGGGCTTGCAGGTAATAAAGGATTGCATTTATAAGGGTGAAAGTCAAAATTTGGAAAAACTGAAAAAAGTTATGCACATACCAAATAATTACTATTAAGTAATGACATAATAAGTGATTATCAATGGTAAATCCAATAGTTTATTTTTTATTTATTTTTGATTAGAGTAGTGTGAAAAAAGTTCATAGTAAAACTTCAGTTTTGGTGTAAATGGACCAATAAACTGCTGAATTGTTGAAAAAATTCATAACGATTTTTAATCTGTATTAGTAAATAATTGCTCTCAGCTCACTTATCTTTTCACTAGTTAGTGCATTAATGTCCACTAATGTGCATCAATTTACCTGTAATAATTTATTTTATTGCAGGGTAATCAGATTCTTGCCAATCTCTCGCCAGAAGAATATTCCAGAGTTATCAAAGTATTAGAGGATGCCATATTGGCAACAGACCTTGCCGTATATTTCAGGTATGTATAGTCGTAAAAGCGATTGATTCGGCTATATTACTGATTTGTAAATGTTGAAATAGGAGGCGAGGAAAATTTCTCAATTTGGTGAACACAAACACGTACAGGTGGGAACTCGAGGAACACAGGGAGCTGTTACGAGCTATGTCTATGACCGTCTGCGACTTAGCCGCTATCACCAAACCTTGGCCAGTTGAAAAGAGGGTATGTCGAAAGGATAATTGTTCGTCGATTTTTCAGTTTTAATAATGAAAATTGATTTAAGGTGGCTGAACTTGTGACAAGGGAATTTTTTGAACAAGGTGATCTTGAGCGGCACGAGCTTAAAATTACCCCAATTGTAAGTCGAAATTAAATTATGATATTTAAAAATTGGTTTTGAAGCAATTTTCTAAATTTACTTTGTTTGCAGGATATGATGAATCGAGAAAAAGTTGACAAGCTACCTGAAATGCAAGTTGCTTTCATTGATTCTATTTGTCTTCCAATTTATGATGTGAGCTATTATTTTATTTTTATTTATTTATTTTTTAAATAAACTATTATTAAATATTATAATTATGCTGGTATCTAAACAATTTCTCATTTGTAGGCTTTTGCATTGTTGTCGGATGAGTTGGTACCGCTTCTGGAAAGATCCAAAGAAAACAGGCAAAACTGGATAAACGCCTCAGTTCAGATAAATACAGAGGGGGAGATTTCAAGTTTAAACATGCAGACGTAGCAAATCTAATGTTTTATATATATAAATTATGTGATGTTTTGTAAATTTTAAAATTAATTGTAAATATTTGTGAAAGAGGAAGATAAAAAGATGCCTTGTTTAAAGAGACAAAAAAATATGCAATGTCTTAGTTCATATAGGAATTGTGTGGACAGATAATAGAAGTTGTTTTATAAACAATTTAATCCTATGTAAAGAAATTCAAAATATAATTATTTAATCATTTTATTTAAAATTTGTGTCTTAATTTTTATTTGTTTAATTTTTTCCCCTTGTGTCATTTCTTTTTAAAAGATGATGATATTTGCAATCAGGTAACAACCGATCGATTGACACCTATAAAATTAAACATTTAAAGTAGGTAGCTTTTTTATATTAGGGTACACTTACCCAACGCATGCTACCCGACATGACCTGAAGTCTCCCAATGCAAATCCAGTGTCCAATTTTCCATAAGATTGTATTACCCTCGTGCACATCTGCCCGAGGTTACGCTTCGCTATGCAAATCCCCAATGTCCAGATTTTCATCGAGTACAGTCGAAGATAAAAGAACCAGACACTCATATTTTTATTTCAAACTGTGTATTATTGTCGTTATATTAATTACAGCATACTTATCTTAATATAAACCAAATTAAGCGAGATCAAATGTTCATTAGTTTTTATTTAAAAAAAATAAATAATTTTAATGGTATGGTAGAAAATTGATCAAAACACTGGAATACCATTTTTTGATATAATGAATTTAACTAACAATTTATTACATGGTTTTGCTCAAAATAATGCGTTAGAACAGAAGAGGCGTTTATGATACACGCTGTGTGACTAAGTGGCATGCACACTGCACACCTTACCAAAACGAGACGAGGTGTCGGGTCACGTCATGTAGCGTTGCATTGGGTAAGTGTGTTCCCTGCTTAAACCATCACAGCCACAGACACCTTCTGTGACAGTACATACCAATTGATAATACAATTAATTAAACATTAGTTGTTGTCATTTAGGTAGATATCTATAAGTAAAGTGATTCCTTTCATACAGGAGGATATAGTGTCCAACTATGCATTGGATGTCTTGGAAGAGTAAGTAGTAACAATACTTTTTTTTTATTATTAGCAATTAAAATACCATGGGTATTATAACAAAGTTCTGAACTGACATACATATGTGTCTAACAGAGGAAAAAAGTTATTGACTCTGCAACCCGCCGAATTGCAGATCAGGAACAGAAAGAATAATCTTATCTGGCAATATTTAAAATAATTGACAATCTAGAATGTCCATTTGGTCTGGGTCCCCAAACTTGGAGGCATATTATATACGCATGTACGATCTTCAAGAAAGAACGTTCATAAGAAACATTGTGATGTAAGGAAACAGTTGGCCTACATCACAAGAAACATTAATCACAAAATACTATGTAGAATTTATAACATTTGTTAATTCAATTAACCTTAAAAAAATGGTGACAATTGTTTGTACATATAATTGTGTGTAGTATATATTGTTGCAAGAGTATAAAAATTAGGCCAATTGCATAAAATGTAACTTTTATGTAAATCCTTGTATATAAATTGTTTGGAAACTTGTATTGTTGCCCCTAATCACTAAGGGGACACCAAAAATGGCGTTGGCGCGGCGCGGCGCTCATCAATCTAAGGTAAAGTGGCCAGTATTTCCAAATGGGCTTTTTTTGAAAAATTGGCATCCCAGGGATTGATACGACCACTGAAAAAAAAAATAAGGACTTGCTGATTATGTAGCACTATTTATGTGCTATTTACATATGCTTTGGTTTACTAGATGGGTAAAATAAGATAAGTTAAATTTTAGTAAACAATCACTAGATTTTACAAGTGAGATAATTGCACTACTTCATTTCTTACAAATAAAAGAAATGCGAAGTACAAGCAGGGGAAAGTATATAGACAAATACAGAGATAGGAGTATGAGTTATTCAAGTTTACAACTAGACAAGTAGAATTATCAAAATGTTGATAAAACTTTTCAAGATGTTTAACAAAGTACATTTCATTTTGGAGGAAATGGTTTCCTTCTTGATTTAAAAAAATTATAAAGTGCTTATCTCATTTGGTCAAAATTTGACTTATCCAGTTTTGACCAAGGGTGCAGATAGTATTTGGGTCCCCTATTCCGATTGTTGGAGGATTTTGGTTTGTATTTATTAGCGTGAATGTGTGATGTGAGAGGGTCAGTGACAGAATATCAAGTACCCTCAATTAGGTTAGTTGAGGTGTAAAGGGTGATAGAAGAATATCGAGTACACCACCTGATTGAATGAATTGTATGTTGATAGGAGTGAATGTATTTAAGGATGAACGTGAGTACAAATAGGTTTGCATGCATTGAGTACTGAATTGACTTAGCGATTGAAGCACCCACGCCCTGACTACAAGTAATATAAGTCTGAGGTCTGACCCCGGACTGCCAACACTTACGTGGATGATTTTCGAGTTTACCGGCAATTTACAGTAAATAGTGAAAGCTAGAATTGCCAGTGAACTAAAAGAATCGAATAGGCTCAACTTAGCATAGGCTTGTATGTAGTACATGTGCGAATTTGAAACTATATAAATCCAAATCCAAAATCTCCAATGAAATACAAGCTACAATGGTAAGAATTATTTGATGATGTGCAATATTCTGTTTTTATTGTAATTTTGGTTTTGGATTATACTCTAATTTATTTACACATACTGATACGAGAATTCTAACTTTTTTTTTGTTGATGGATGTGCTCCATGCCCGATTGAAAAATAAAGCTTAAATCTACGATTAAATGTTCTTGTCTTTTTTTTGGTTGAGAATTAATTATTCCGTTCCAGCGTGTTGACAGAATTGTCCCGCTCGTCGTTCGTACCCCAGTGCTTAAGAATGCGCTTGCGTCTCACATTTAAAACAAAGCCAAATCCAGGCCTCCTGGCCGAGGAGCCGAAATTCCATCATGTATTTTCCAAAAACAATTTTGAATCAAAGGAAAGCAGTCAAAAATGGGGCGAAATTAAAGGAAGTCGGTTCAAGTATAAGGATGTTTTGCCTGGAATAGGCACAGGGAAAGACAGGAAGAGGGGACCGGACCAACAGGTTGGACCCTTCCGATCAATACTTGTCATTATTAAAGCCCCGGACTTGGTTCCGCGAACCCGTGAATAAAGGGTGGATGTGCAATTCTTAAAGCCATTTCTATTTCCTTCTTGATATTGTCTGATTTTTACTTCTTTTTTTAACTTTTTTTATATAAGTCAATATCGACGGTTTTATGTTTAAAAATTTAAGCTCCTCGTTTAAGCTCAAGGTTTTCGGAGAAGGCGATTTTTCGCCCAATTGACCGATGGCGATAAAAACATTATCAAACGGTTTTATATATTTAAGGGGGATGTGGGACATAAGCGGGGAGACGATGTGACCGACGCTTGCGCGCACTTCTAATCCGTGATGGGCTCCGAGTACCGCAAGGCCCAGTCAGTATCCTGGCAAACGGGGAAACGGCGTTGTACCTGTCGTCGAGCCTTTCTGCAATGTATCGCCGCCCACTCACAACATAGGTCAGTGAGAACATTTTCTCCATTAGTGATGCAGGGGATGGCGATTTCCGCCCCCTGGGTTCTGGGGTGCGATCCGTTTTTTTTTCACCCCCGGCCACCGATACCAAATTTGTCGACCCCCCTCCCAAGAGGTGGTGTGCGCTGGGATTTTTTTTAAAAATAAATTGCTTAGGAAAAATGAGTGATATTGGGAATAATTTTCTATTTAATTCATGCTATAATCCACAATAATGAAGTATTTAAATGTTACACCCTTCGACCAACCTGTAGCTATTACGATTTAATTTAAAATTTACAACCATTAAGGTTTCCAAAATTGCTCACTTTTTTAATAACTGACTCGTTTCCCCAAAGCCAACCCGGCTTCATTTACAAAATGAAAAAAAAGCTTAATAGTAGACCTGCCTTAAAATTAATTTTTATACTTAAATCCTAATTCAGTTCATCCAAACTATGTATTATCATACATTTAAATATTACAGCAATTATAATTCTTTAGAACAATAAAGTGCAAATTCAATAGCAAAAAATATGTGAAAAACAGTTAAATCTTTCATTTTTTCATACCATAGTTAATAGCATAATTGTTCTGAATACAATTGTCAATACAAATACAGTCAATTTGTACATTAAATGTATTAATTAAATCCAATAAAAAAATAGACACGACCAAAAAAACTAATACATTAAAAAATCTAATATATCATAGTTGATAATATTGAAAATGTACTCCAATTGTAAATGCGGGTATTGTGGATTTGTGGCAACTTTTTCCCTGGAAAATACATAACAATACATACGAAAAAGATATTACGCCTGTTACACAACTAAAAATGAACCTTCGCGGATCGAACCGGAGAACAAATGAAAGAATGCAAGTTGGTCAGTGTTAAATCATGTTTTTCTGGCACCATTCATCATAAAACCATTTAATTTCCCGATTTTTTCAAGGTTTTCCTCATATAGTTCACGTGTTTATTTAAGAAAATGGCCTTTTTTGTGTGTGTGTGTACGCGCGTGTCTGTGTGATTTTTCATTGATCGTAATGAGGAAAATATCCACAGCTTTTTAACTGTCCGAAGATTTCCAGGAAACGGCGAGCTAATTAAACTGTTTAACTCCTTGTTAACGGATCGCCTTAATGAGGGCCAGTTTGCGGGATAGAAAAATAATGTTTTTGTAATTTATTTCACGCATATTAAGATATGCGTTTGAATTTGTTTAACAATTATAACGAACGTTATCGTATTTATGAAGTTGCAATTGTTATTTCAATTTATCTAAGGCATAATAATTTTTTTCCGAGAAAATAACATTTTTCTATCATTTTTATTCTATCTTATGAATGATGAATATCATTCGTACATAAACATTTTTACGGAAAACGTGCATAATAAAGGTGGATTTTCCCCGAGCCTAGAAAATCAAACTACTTACTCACTCTCTCTCATTCTCTCTCTCTCCTCTCTCTCTCTCTCTCTCTCTCTCTCTCTCTCTCTCTCTTTCTTTCTATCTCAATATCACTCTCGCTCGTTCTCTCTTTACTTCTTTGTCTCAACCTCTCTCTTTCTCTTTCTCTCACTCTCTGTCTTTCTATCTCTCTTTCTACCTCATTATCTTGTTCGTTCTCTCTTTAATTCTTTCTCTCAATCTCTCTTTTCTCCTCTCACTTTAACTCTTACTCACTCACTCACTCACTAGCTCTAACTACCCCTGTTTTTCTTTCATTATAGCTCTGTCTCTTTTTCACTCACTTATTTTCTCACCCTCTCGCGCTTTCACCCTCTCTTTCCCTCTTTCTTTATAGCCATCTCTCTCTCTTCTCTCACTATCTTTCTCACTCTCTCTGTTTCTCTCTCTCTTTTTTCATTTCCTCCTCTTTCTCTCTTTTTTCAATTCCTTCTCTTTCTCTCTTTTTTTCAATTCCTTCTCTCTCTCTCTCTCTCTCTCTCTTTCTCTCTCTCTCTTTTCAATTCCTTCTTTCTATCTATTTATCGCTATCTATCTATCACTATCTCTTTATCTTTCTCTTTCTCTTCATATATCACACTCTCATTCTCCCTTTCTCTGTTAAACTCTTTATCTCACTCTCTTTCTATCTCTCTCTCCTTAACGCACGCACTCTTTCCCACTCTTTTTATCTTTCTTTCTATATTTATTTCCCTCGCACACCCTTTCTCTCTTTTATCCTCCGCGAAAAGACAACCATCTATTATTCTAATATGCATTTTACTTTAAAGTTTTTGTAGAGTCCTCTTTAAAATTTCAAATAATTTATTGTAGTTACATTATTTTAACCCAAAAGTGTTATTTCAGAAATTCATTTATTTACACATTTTATAACGTTAGGTTTGTTACCATTTTACGTATGTCGTTCTACATTGAGCCTTGGGTGGGGGTTCAGTAGTCTTAATTCATGGTAACAAAGGTTGGAAACAGAAGTGGTCATTAGATAAGGGGTTATTGGCTGTAGAGAGGGTGGAATTTGTAGTATGTGCCAAGAAGGAGGAACTGATTTCTATGATTACTGCACGTATTGTCTTTCCACTTATTTGTCAGAAAGGAAAATCAACTTTTTATTGAAGAAAGAGCACATATAAATTGTTCTCCGTGTATTAATTATTATCCAAACGATATTGTCCAGTGATGAAACCCAAGGTGGAGAACAACAAAATAACCATGTTCTACACATAATGTACTGTAAAAGAAAATCGTTTTTGCCATATAGCTGCCATTTTGGTATTGGCAACAATTGAGTGTAACAAATTGAGTGCTGTCGCATCTGATGATTGATAGTTCTAAGAGGGTCTTGGAAAAAAACGGCAAAATGAATCTTGTCCAAATGGCAACCCATAACGCCTGGCAAGTTGGCAAAATGTACGAAATCACTGTGATCAAAACACGATTGTGTTGTACGAAATGAGTTGAAAAACGAATTTATGTTAATGGCAACAAACCAATTGTTGCTTTCCCCCCTCCCCTGGGAGGCCTTGTTGATGAATTTAGTTCAAGGCTTTTTAATACTTTTGTGTTTATGTCTTCACTACTTCATGTTAGAAAAGAGACAATGTTTATTTAATAAAAAAGTTGAAGAACAAAACTCTGTTACGAATGAGGATGTTATAAACCACGTTGTAATCGTTCTATCCTCTGTAGGCCGCAGTTGAACGGCTTATCCAAACATTATTCATACCAGCTATATTATAATCCTTGCTCTCGCCGCTTCCATCCGTACCAATAGTACATTGTTGTTGAGAAAAGTAAAATAAGGCGAATGAAATCCCAAAAATCATATCTACGCGCCTCTTTCCGGATATTGTATAATGTTAAATATCGCATTTTTCAACTTTTATGCCACGTTCTCGCCTTCGTTCATCTTAGAAAGTGAATCATTATTTTCACAGAGAGTAAATAACACGTGGAAGTGTTTTACCAGGGGCTTGAAGGTCATTTGTAAGTTTGTCGGATTCGAATGCAGAGCCGCTGGATTCGAACCCGAGACCTTTACCTTACAGTGATGTGCGCCGTTTCAACGCCTAAACCGTTGCGGCCACCGATGCCCCTAGTTGTACCTATTGACGAAAGGTCTAGAGAATATGGATGCGGCAAAATCCCTCCCCCATTTCCATTAATTTTTGAAGTAGGTAGGCTTTTTTGATGAAATAAAGCTTGATCAAGGTAGTGATATCACTGATAGGTCTATCCTGCATTTGACCTATGAGCATGTAAAACATTTTATTCAGGTGGAGCTCATGCTACTGAAATGGCCTAAATTCTTCATTCTTGGAATTTTTTTTTTAATAATCATACGTTATGGTTTTATCCATGGATGAGGCTATAGGTAAACGAAAGTCATTCCGTCATTCCATCGATCTGGTGGCAACAGCTCATAGTGCAGAATACCCTTGGCAGTGTAGAAAATAGCGAGAAAAACGTTTTTTGGATCCCATCGACCTGGAGGCAAACGATCAAATTGTGAACATCAGATCATAGTGCAGAATTCACTTGACAGTCTAGAAGATAGCGAGCCAATCGTCTTTTGGAGGGCGGTCAGAGTAAGGAAATTACTTAGGCTCTTCGTCAGGGGGAAGACTATTGGTGTGACTGAAAAATTTTATTCAAGGATCATTTTTCTTGACTAGGTAATATTCTATCCAACGTTGCTTAGGTTACATACTAATTTTCAGATTAAGGAAATTTCTTAGGCTCTTCGTCAGGGGGAGATATTGGTATGACTTTGCAAAATCTTTACTTAAAAATGGTTTACTTACTAATTTCCAAGGTAGAGACAGTAGATAAACGTTCTACCCATCGACCTGGAAAGAAAATGCTCAAATTGTGAACAACTGCTCATAGAACAGAAACCCTTGGCAGTCTAGAAAATAGCGAGCAAAACGTTTTTCAATGGAGGTCAGGGTAAAAAAAATTTCTAGGTTCTTTAGAGGACGTATATCGTTGTGGTCGCATAGAACTGCTTTTCAGTGCCAACGTTTCATTACAAGTTATGTATTCAAGTTATGGATGGTTCATGGAAGGGGCTTTACACATATATACATATTCTTCGACCTGAAAGCAACAACTCGCTCAAGCGCGTAGATAGCGATCAAAATGTTTTTCTGGTGGAGACCGGTATAAAGACATTTACTATCTCCTACAAAGAGGTCTGGGGAAAACCATTGTTATGACTGCCTAAAATTATCGTACCCAACACATTTTTCACCACAAGTGAAGACTGTTTATGAAGAATCTATAGAAGTGGAGAAGAAAGCTAATGAGGCACAACTGGCATAAGTTATGAACAACCGGTTTAGAATGGCCCAGCAAGTCTATCTTATGATGAATGTAAACCATCAAAGGTTTGTAAAAACAAAGCTGAGGTCTTGCCTCCCAAATTGCTCCTTATAAATCGAACGCCGAGCTTGCTTTGCTAGCAAGTTCATTTGTGATATTAAACCGCCAAATAGGGCAAATTTGAGATGGAAATTAATGTTGCTTTTAAC